GCGAACACCTTAATAATCGATTCTTTACCGTAGCTTTAAATGGCACAACGATCGATACATCGCAATTCACGCCACGCCACTGGTTAGAATGAGGAAGCGAGGCGAGAGGACACCGCCGCTTGACCTGTAGAAAAGGGTATCGCCTTTCCCTCCGGAGCCGCAGACACCATGCTAACACTTCCGGAACAGGGTTCATCTGAGGGGCTAGTTAGGCGTTTTGGCGGGGGAGCGGCGATATGAGAGCCGGGTCCAAAATAAACCGTCATCACCGCAAGACGTTGTGTCGCGTCATGATGGCCGGCCGACGCGACGCCGGCGACGCCATGCCAGACAGGTGACGGTGCGATCGCGTCTCGTTCCAGACGACGCACAGTGGAACAAGCTGATAGAGGAGGTTGGACTTGAAATTTTTTGATAAAGTTTCAGATTTTGATGTTGATTTCGTCACAAATTCAATTTCGATGGGTGTTTCTGAAAGGAACACTGGTAAAAAAAACCTCTTGGTTCAAGAGTGCAGTTTTTTGTCGCCGGATTTAAGAGTCTGGACTCTTGTTTCAATGCAACATCCACTTGAATCAATGCAAAATCCGCTTAAATCAATTCAAAACTGGCTTGAATCAATGCAAAATTCGCTAGGAACAAGAGTTCAAGACTCTTAAATCCGGCGACAAGAAACTGCACTCTTAAGTCAATGCACCGCGGCATTGGTCCAAGAGGTTTTTTTTACCAGTGAAAGTTCACAAAAAACCAATAAAACCACACTTAAAACTTTTTTGTTTCGTATTTCCGAAAATAAATGCGTTCAAAGTTTCCAGATTTCGTCTGACTTTTCCTATTGACTCGGACCAGTGTGCGACGCTTGTTAGATTGATCGTGTCGATCCTCCTCTCTTCCCTGCCGGGGAAGAACGCCATATGAGCATTCAAACATTGCCAAATTTCATTGAAATTTTTGATAAAATTTCCAGAGATATTTTCAAATTTGAAGGGGCCATGCGGATCAAAGAAAGCTAAGTATGAAATATTCGGAATTTCAGTGAAATTTGTGATAAAATTTCCGAGGATATTTTCAAATTTGAACGGGCTAAACACTGCCAAATTGCATGTTGGATCGCAAAGAAAGCAAAGTATGAAAGATTTGGAATTTCAGTGAAATTTTTGATAAAATTTCCAGAGATATTTTCAATGATCATTGAAATGATATGATCATTTTCGGTCCTTCGAGGCACAAAAATTGAAACGACATTAAACCTGGAGGTTAAGCGTTTTCCGAAATAAAGGATCTTTTCAATGTGTTTTGGTGGAAAAATGTACATACATACAATAAGGCCTCAAAACTATTTTTCCTGAATGAAACGAAATTTTCATTTTTTCCAAGCTCCACATTCCTTAAAAACTAGACTTCGTTTTCTTTATAAACTGAAAGTACCCGTAAAAAAATTATCTGGAATTTTAAAGGAAAATCACTCAAAAATTTTTCCGAAGAAACTCGCATTTGATTCGAAGAGATTTGGCAACGTTTCATTATCCATCTCGCGGTTTTCTTACCACGGCAGATTTCGCGAATTTTTGCCAACTATATCGCTCTACTCTGCAGACGCGCCTCATTTAGAGGACCTACGAACTGTACCCAGACGGATAGGGAACCTGCGTGTCGTCTTAGTGTCTAGGAACTGTTCAACCGGGATTCGTCAACGAACGAAAAGTTTCCGGGAAAATCCGAAATTCTCAAGGAGTCTTACTCAAATATCGAGAATTTCTTCCCTCTCCGCTCTAAGACCCATTTTTATTAGTGATCCGCACTAATCTCGCGGAAAAATCACCAAAAATATGAGTAAAATCAATAAATATGATCCACTTGGGTAAGGGGGGCCCTTCAAGTGAAAAAAAAGAAGAAATGCGGGGTTTGTGGTGTAATTGCCACCTGTAGGTGTTTGATATATCAGACGAAGATGGCTCGATACTGGTTCAAATAATTGCTTCGCAACTTGATGGAGGAAACGAGGTAAGAGACGGTTATAGAGCTTGGAGCTTCAGGAGTAATTGCACGTTAGGCGGATTGCAAATTGTAGCTGCTGAGGTGAGACAAGTTACAATGATACGATACTCTGCTTGAGAGGGGTTTTCCAAGCCAAAGCCCTCAGACACGCGAACCACGAGCACTATTGCTCGCCCGACCATGACAGATAATAAAATGCATCACTGCAAAGTCACACAATACGAAGAAACAGGTGCAGTCCCTAAGACGCGAGAAATCAAGAAAAGAGAGATAGAACAATTATTTTTCGTTCGACTCAGCTCTAAAAGCTCTGGATGGCTTACACGTCGTTCTAAAATGATTGTGGTTCCTCTATCGCAAAACACAATCCAATTAATCATATTTTGTTCAGGATTCGTTAACTGAAAACAATGACTCTCGGGTTTGGATTTTTGTTGCTGTATCTAGCTATCAAATAATTGATTTTAATACTTCATTTTCCGTAAACTTATCTCTGTGTGGACAAGTAATTCCATTCATAAGAAATGAACGAAAAAATTATGAAAGAGCAAGCATAAATGTGGTTCAACTTCCGCCGCCGCGCCGCGCAGACCGCACCGTGTTTGGAGCAATGCGTGACGTATTCACGCAGTCTTGTAGGCGCTATGCGTTTCACGCTGACCGCACTGTGTTTGGCGCAATGCGTGAAGTATTCATGCATCCTTGTAGGCTCTATCCGTTTCACGCTGGCCGCAATGACCGCACTGTGTTTGATGCAATGCGTGAAGTATTCGTGCAGTCTTTTAGGCGCTAATATGTGTTACTTGCCGATCGCCGCGCCGAGGGCTTCTCCTTTTCATCTCAAGTCCTCGTTATCATTTCTTTCTAAGTCGCGCCGTTCTAGGCCAAATTGCGTGTTTGGTTTCTCTCGTAACTCCTTTTATTGAGAGTGCTGTCTCTTGTATCACTGAGAGACGACAAAATTAGGAGATACTATACTCTCAGGAAATGAGATATTTTGTCGCCTTTTCTCCTTTGTAGTTTTGTATTTATAAATCCGATTTTTTTTATACCTACACTTTAAAAAATTGCAAATTTTTGCCGTCCCTTTAGATTTGCCGCCATGGGCCGCGGCACATGTAACCACCCCCTTAATCCGGCCCTGCGCACCGGCAGTCTCAATGTTCTCATCAGTGGCGTGGCGTGCTTTGCGATATATCGATTGATCGGCCATTTAAACCTATGGAAAAGTATCGATAAACAGGGTGTTCGCAGCGAACACCTTAAAAATCGATTATTTAACACAGCTTCAAATGGGGAAATATCGATAGATCCCAAAGCAAGCCACGCCACTGATTCTCATTATTATCAATGCTTGAATGCAACTTTTTGCGCTCAATGGATGCGTCCATGTTGCATGAGCAAAACATGAAAGAACTGCATGTTCTCTGGCGCTTTAAGAGACGGGTTCATTCTAAATTGTTGAATCGTTCTGGCAAGATGTATGAAGCAACCGGTGCCTTTTCCATGCGTCGGCGAAGCTGCAACACTTAAACATTGTTCTTTCTCTGATACCTCATGATTCTTATTGTTAACTGTAAATCGGATATTGTTCACCGTTTTAATTACACCCAGTGACGTATCAAAATTAAGATTCCAGGGTCAAGCACTCTCCTTCTTTACCTCTGAGATATGCATGTGTGTATGAAAAGGAAACAAAAGGGGGCGAAGAGAAAGAAATGGAGCAGCGGAAAAGGAAATATAGTAACAAGTCACAGATCTGAAAAAAGCGTTCGTTAAAAATGAAACTTCGCAGATTCGATATTATTTCTTCTTCTTTTTCTTCTTCCCTGGACGACTAGGGCATAGCCCTGTTTTTCAGTCCATCCAGTATCGAGCACAATAAACTATATAAATATTACAAATCTATAAATCACCAAATAATACAGAATTTTTCAATTAAAACAGCATAAAATCTGCAATCAACCTCAGGAGATATTATTTCGACGTAATAATCACAACGAATTTTCTAATCCCAAAAGTGGATTAGCTTTTCACATAAATACACAGTCCCCGTCTGGACTTCTATAAATTCGCCCCTCCAAAATACACTGAATTGTTTATTAGAAGGATTCTTTTCTCTTAATACGTTTTCGAGGGCTACTCTCGAACCTTACCCACCTGGGATAGGGGAATATTATTCCCCGTAAGGGCACCGTCTCGTATCAATTTAGGTACGCCTCTAATCAACTTTTCATTTCTAGGCCTCTGGAGACAAAGAGGAAATCTCCTTTAACCTTTCGACGGCGAGTAAAAACTTTGCCATTTGGTGCCTCTTCACTTACCTTTTCCAACCTCCAGCAATTCATTCGCATCGCAAAAAACCATTATTCGGTAAACTTGTCAAGTACATCTTTTTATACGCAATATAGTAGCCACCATGAAGGCAAGGTGAGTATTGCTACCCATGAGGAAATGTTGAATCTTCCAAAATACTATAGTTTCCGCCGGTGTAAAGGAGAGGATCTCAGACCGTCACTATTTTTACGTTATGCCGGAATCACACGCTGAATTGGGCAGCTGAATGTGGAAGTTAATAGTCATCGCTCAACGGCTGAAATTTCGCAAATTCGAGTTATTTTCATCCAGATGTGTATCAAATCGCTTCGAATAGTTCAGGCGAATCCGACATTATCCGATGGTCGCTGGTAATCGTTGCTGAATTTTGCACGACCCGCGCAAAATTCAGGCATCGGGCCGATGACTTCCACATTCAAGCCACATTCAGCTCCCACATTCAGCTTGTGATTGCGGTATAATTTTAATAATTGGACTGCATTCTGCAACTTGGACCTATAGATTCTAGCCCGGTTTAAAAACAACGTATGTGCCATTAGTTTCCCTATGCACATAAGTGTTTTTCTAGAAGAGCCAGAATTTATAGGTCCAAATTGCAAATTGTAGTCCAATTGTATCTGTGTCTGTGTATCGTTACTGATGAGAATTGTGTACGTCTGTTTCAGAGGCGGCAAACCTCATAGATGTTATCTAGTGGCCTCTCGGTGGAGGGTATAGGGCATGTTCTCCCCCTGCACAGTGTCGGGAGTTACCCTAGCTTCCTGGCGGCCCATCAAGCCCATCACCACCACCCGCACCCAATGACGTTTATGGAGCCGTACCTCAAGTCGGAGCTGAGGCCGCCCGTGCCTGAGTTCATCCGGCCCCTGCCCAAACCCATAGTGCCATCCACCAAGTACAACAGCGTCCTGGGCAGTCCCTCCGCGGCGCGAACCCTCCACTCCCACCCCCGCCAACACCCGCACCCCCACCCTCACCCCCAC